GGAGTGCAGTGGCACCATCATAGCTCACTGCAGCTTCCAACTCCTGGGCTCAAGCAATTCTTCCTGCCTCAGCCTCCCAAAGTGATGGCATTATAGGCATGAGCCACCACACCTGGCTAAGACTACATGCATTTTTTTATTTTATAAAATAAAAACAATTTTTGAGACAGGAGTCTCACTCTGTTGCCCAGACTAGAGTTCAGGGCCATGATCATAGCTCACTGTAACCTCAAACCCTTGGGCTCAAGTGATCCTCCCACCTCAGCCTCCTGAGTAGCTGGGACTACAGGTGTGTGCCACCATGCCTGGCTAATTGCGTTTATTATTATTATTATTATTTTTTTTTTTTTTTTGTAGAGAGGGGGTATTACTATGTTGCCCAAAATGTTCTGGAACTGCTGGACTCAAGTAATCCTCCCGCTTCAGACTCCCAAAGTGCTGGGATTACAGGTGTGAGCCACCATGCCCCGCCTTACATGCATTTAAATGTTGATAGATTTCTCTATTAATGTATAAAATTGTTTTTCACACCTGCTAGAATACATTATTTTAAGTGTTTTGTTTTTTTCAACCTTGACTGATGAAGAATAATTCCTTGCTAAGGAAGGTCTGCAGTTTTCTTGTTATGAGGGAGGTTAAGTGGATGTTCATATGTTTACAAGGCACTTGTGTTTTCTTTTCCAAGAACTGTCTGTATCTGTTACCCAGTTTTCAATTAGGTTATTCTTTTCTTACGAATTTTAGGAGCTCTTTAGACATCAAGGAATTTCACCTTTTGATACATATGTTGTTCACTTTTCCAGTTTAGGGAGTCTGTGCCATTACATAGTATGGGCTCTCAGGAATGGTTACTGAGGTGATGACATTTATTGGCTATTCACTCTTACTTTATGGGGCCTATTTTATTTTAGTCCTTATGACAGCCTACGGAGGAAGTTCTTTATTATCTGTGTGTTGTAAGTTAGGAGATGAAAAACTGAAATAATGAATAAACCACAGTGCACAAACACACTCTATATAGATGTTCAAGTGCTCTTTGTCAGGAGGCCAGTGTGAATAAGTTAAAGAGCCACACACGTGTGTAATGTTTCCAACCCAAATAGTTTAGTGATAGCTCCTGTGTGTATTTTTTCCACACCAAATTTTTTATTTGTTAACCCATCTGATTATGTTATTTTTAGGCACCTAAATATGCTTCATAGAGTTTGAAATAAATGAGAGCTGCTATATCACAGAAAGTAACAGTTCACAAGCCTTTGCAGGCTCATCGGTGCAGACCACTTGGAGCTGGAATTATGTAAATATAGTCCTTTGCACCTCTTAAAGCCTCAGATTGGCCCAGCCTCCTTAGTTTCTGGAAAGGGGAAGGAGGTAAGACCCATAGTCAAAGAAAAGGAAAGAAAATGGATTCTATGTCTCTGTTTTTAAATTATTTAGATTGTGAGCACTCTCGAAGCGGCACACCTGTAGAGGTTTCTGGCTGAGGAAACCCTCATCAAGCAACATCACAGTTCTTTTCATCTTATTCTAAAAAGTATTGGAAGTGAGGCATTTTTCAGAGGTTGCATCCGCATAAGCCACGGTGATTCGTCTCCAGCCCAGTCTCAGACTCTTGCATAGCAGTGGTAGGGTAAGCAGGGAAGCTATGTAGACTGTGAGGTGGCTGGTCCTTGGGAACACATAACAATCTGTCCCCTTCAGGAAGGCACACCGGAACACAAAGCCAGGACTTCATCCAGTAGGCATCAACTGGCCATTGTCTTCAAAAAACACTGGGGCAGGTGTGAAACTCATAGAAGTAGACAGGTGCACCAGCATCTGAACAAAGGTCAGGGGAAGGTCAGGCATGCATGCAGCGTGGAGCAGAGGCGCGGCTCTGTGACCCCATCTCTATCTAGTCTTGGAATCTTGTAGACCGAGGGGTGGGACAGCTCAGAGACCGAGGCTGCCTAAGCAGCCTCACTTCCCCCTTCCTCATCTGAGGCTGGAGTTTGTTACGGCAGTGTTTTATATCCACCCTGGTGATGAAAAACTCACACGTCTGAGAGGCAGTAGTTCTACTTACTCAAAAAACGTCCTCCATATTAAGCAAGATCTACCTCGTTGGGACTTTCTCTCAAAGTTCAAGTCTTTAACCCTCTCTCTTGAAATACTTTCATCTTTTCATTACTGAATTGCTTAAGGGTTCTTCTATCTGGATATGATGATTTTTGTAAATAATTTGTATTATGGCGAACATTTCTCCCAGTCTGTGGTCTACAACCTGTTTTTCCTAACAATATTTTTAAGACAAAATGTAAATGAAAATTGAAATCTGCCCTTCTGTTCGTATAAATTCAGCGGTTTTAGTACATTTAGGATGTTGTGCAATATCACTATTGAGTCCAGAACATTTTCATCACCCCAAACAGAAACCTCAGACCCATTTCATAGAGTCACTTCCCCACGATTGCACCATACTTTCTGTCCACCTATGGATTTACTTTAATCTGAACAACATTTTCATATAAGTGAGATTATACAACATGTAGCCCTTTGTGCCTGACTGCCACAATTAGCATATTTTACAAGGCTCATGTCTACATGTTTACAGCAGCCTGCATTCATATTTTTGCATTTCTTTTATGGCAAGCTGTTAGTCCATTGTAAGTATGTACTGAATTTTGTTTATTGATTCATCAGTTGATGAACACTTGGGTTATTACATTTTTGGCCTATAATGAACAAGGTGCTATGAACATTCCTTTAGTTTTTGTATACAGAATATCAGTTTTTCAGTCATCTTGGAGTACTTACCCCTATAGACTAGTTTTGCTAGGTTATATGGAAACTATGGTGCTTACCACAGAGCAACAGCCACAACATTTTCCACAGGGCTGCACTGTTTTATGTTTCCAACAGCCGTGTATGAGTTTTGGTTTTCTCTATACCCTTCACTTGTTCTTATTCCTTTTCTTTTTAAAATTATAGCCACACACAATAGTATGATCTACCTCGTTGGGACTTTCTCTCAAAGTTCAAGTCTTTAACCCTCTCTTGGAAAATACTTTCTTTTCATTACTGAATTGTAAGGGTTCTTCTATCTGGATATGATGATTTTGTGAAATAATTGTATTATGAACATTTTCTCCCAGTCTGTGGTCTGCCTTCTCATTTTCCTAACAATATTTTTAAGACAAAATGTACGTAAGTGAAATCTGCCACTTCAACTATTTGAAAGTATATAATTCAGCGGTTTTTAGTACATTTAGGATGTTGTGCAACTATCACCACTATTTAGGTCCAGAACATTTTCATCACCCCAAACAGAAACCTCAGACCCATTTCGCAGTCACTACACAGTTCTACTTTCTGTCCCTATGGATTTGCCTAATCTGAACATTTCGTATAAGTGAGATTATACAACATGTGGCCCTTTGTGCCTGACTTCTTACAATTAGCATAATGTTTACAAGGCTCATCTGTGTTGTAGCATGCATTCGTATTTCATTTCTTTTTATGGCAAACTGATAGTCCATTGTAAGTATGTACTGAATTTTGTTTATTGATTCATCAGTTGATGAACACTTGGGTTGTTACCATTTTGGCCTATAATGAACAAGGGTGCTATGAACATTCACATACAATTTTTGTATGAATATCAGTTTTCAGTTATCTTGAGTATACCCCTAGGACTGGATTTGCTAGGTTATATGGAAACTATGTTTAACTTTTTGAGCAACAGCCACAACATTTTTCCACAGGGGCTGCACTGTTTTATGTTTCCAACAGCCGTGTATGAGAGTTTTGGTTTCTCTATACCCTTCACACTTGTTCTTATTCCTTTTCTTTTTTAAAAAAATTATAGCCACCCTAGTATATAACACATGCAAAAGAATAAAGGTAGATTCTTCCCTCATACTATATAGAAAAACTAACTCAAAATGGATCAAAGACCTATATTTAAAACTAAAACTGTAAACCTTTATATGAAAATATAGTGGTTAATTTCCACACCCTTGAATTTCGCCGTGGATTCCTAGATATGACACCAAAAGCACAATCAACAATAAAAGTGGATGAATTATATTTCATCAAAATTAAAAACTACTGTGCAACTTTGGTGCATTATCAACAGAGTAAGAAGGCAACCCACAGAATGGGAGAAAATGTTTGCATGTCGTATATCTCATAATATCTCATAAGGGATTAATTTCTACTATATATATATATATATATATGGAACATATATATATATGGAACTCTTAAAACCCAACAACAAAAAACAATTCAATTCAAAAATGGGCAAGGGTCTTAAACAGACGTTTCTCTAAAAACATATATACAAACATCCAATAAGCACATGAAAAGATGCTCAACATCTCTAATAATTGGGAAAATGCAAATGAAAACCATAATGAGATACTACTTCAAACCCATTAGAATAGTCATTATTTTAAAAACAACAACAGAAAATAACAAATGTTGGTCAAGATGTCGAGAAATTGTAACCCTTGTGCATTGCTGGTAGGAATGTAAAATGGTTCAGACACAGTGGAAAGCAACATGACAGTTCTTCAAAAAAATTAAACTTAGAATTACATATGATCCAGCAATTCTACCTCTGCCATATACCCCAGATAACTGAAAACAGGGACTTGAACAGATATTTCTACAACTATATTAATTGCAGCATTACAGTCAATAGCCAATTGTAGCCAATAACCAATTGTTCATTGCACAATAGCTGAAAGGTGGAAACAACGCAAATGTCCATTAATGAATAAATGGATAACCAAAATGTGATACATACATACAATGGAACATTATTCAGCCTTAAAAAAGGAGGAAATTCTGATGTATAGTACAGCATATAGGAATCCTGAGACCTTATGCTATGTGAAATAAGCCAAACAAAAGGACAAATATTGAATGATTCCATTTACATTGAGTAACTAAAGTCACTAAAGTAACTAAAACGTCAATCATAGAGACAGAAAGTAGAATGGTGGTTATTGGGGTCTGGGGAAAAGAGGAGTGGGGAGTTATTTTTAATAGGTACTGATTTTCAGTTTGGGATGATAAAAACATTCTGAAGATGTATAGCGGTGATGGTTGTACAACAAGATGAATGTACTTAATACCATTCTGCCTTTAAAATAGTTGAATTAAAGTCTATTACTTTAGGAATCCATTACTCCTTATAGCTAAAATGTTTGTTCCATTACTATGTATGGCTAAGATGTTGGGGAAGACATTTCTAGAAAGAAAAAATCCCGGGGGACAGCGCCCAGAAAATTATAGGGAGATGAGAATTTTCTACATGGTCCTGAAGAAGGGGAAGAAACAGAAACAACTGATCAACATTCCCAAACTCTGAAAGGCAGGTGAATGACACAGGTACCCATGGCATGTTCCCATCCAGACACAGACACCCTCTCTGTGAAGGAACAGAGGCAGAGGAGGCAGCCAGTCAGTAGACAACATGGATCACCGTGGCCACCAGCCTCGCTGGGCTGTGGTCCTGGAGGGGGGTGCTCAGAGACTCACCTCGGTGATATCGAGCTGTGATCAGTGCAGGGACCACAAAGAACACATCTCCAAGCAAGTCCAGAAGACTGTCTCGGATTTCAGTCAGGGAGTGCTTGTCATGGAAGTATTCTTTAGCCACAAGGTGCAAATACTGAGGCGGGATGTGCTGTAAAAAAAATCTTAGTCGATCCAGATCAACCACAGTGGCCAACACGTTAAACACTCACCTGTGCAGGTATGATTCTGAATGCTTTACCCACATTGCTTTATTTAATCCACACAGCAACCCTAAGATGCAAGTATCAAAACTAGCCCCGTTTCACAGATTAAGAAACTGAGGCTTAGAGAGGTGAAGTGGTTGGGCCCAACTGGAAGAACCATGATTCTTTCACAAGTCTATTTGCATCCAAATCCCATGCTCCTGACCACAGGCCTCTCTCTCTCATGTCTCAGAATGAGTCACTCCTGGGCAAAACTGGCTGCATCATCTGTGGAGCTCAGTGCAAAGTAAAAACATAAACTCCTTGTTAAAAAAATCATTAAGAATTTCAAGATGGTGACAACGGAGCATTAAACCAAATGTAGGACCCTTCTGAGCAACAGGGTCCTCTGTGACTACACAGGCAGAACATCCATGAAATCAGCCCTGCTCCTGGTACCAGCACTGCCTCCAGCCCTTAGCTATTATCTTACCTAAGCTAGTTGGTCTCTTGGAGCCTCAGTTTCCTCATCTGTAGGGATGTAGATGATTATATGAGATGTGAAGAGAGAAGTATGCTGCTTGGCCCAGAGCAGGTATTCAGTCCTGTTGGTTCCCCCAGGCCCCATTGCTGAGTGCCTTAATAGGACATTTGATGCTTCTCTGACCTGGCAACAGCCTGCCTCCCAGGCTTCTCCCTCTCAACTTCCCGCAGGCACTAATGGCAAAGAGTGCATGGTAAATTCCATGAAGATTCAGGGATCTGGTGCTCTAGGAAATGCTGGAAAGGTGTTGCAGCTCAAACCCGTACCACTAAGACAGCAGCCACAGCCCTTGATGGGTTTCTTTGGAATTTGGAGGTGAGGCAGTGTACACCACATTGGAGAATGCTGCTCAGACTCGTTTATCGGGTCCTCAGGAGGCTGGTGGTTTTTAATCAGGCCAGAGCAAGGGAGGCCTCTGCAGTAGGTCCAGTCTATGGCGTAAGGGCCTGGCCTCTTTCATATAACCAGCAGAACCCATGGTGCTGGAGGTGTCCAAGGTGGGTATAGATGCTGTGTGGAGTCTCAGGTGAGTCCCCATAGGACAGTCAGAGTGCAAAGTCCTAGGGTTCTGGGGTAAGGCTATGCCTTCTGCATCAGAGAACTACTTACTGTTTAAAAAGTAGCCCCTAGCATGCTACCGTGCCTAGGAGAAACACATGCCCTTCCATTCCTCTTGCACTTTCCCACACAACCTACTTCCCACTCTACTTGAAATGTCCTTCTGCTCAGTTGTTCCCTCCCCTAAGGATCAGATCAATGAGCATCTTCTCCATGAGGCCATCTCCAGTCCACCTGAGAATTCCACTGTATGATTTATAACATCAATATCTCTCAAACCTTAGTCCCAATTCATCATCAGACAGCTGCAACTCGTCAAACATCCCTCCACCGGGGGGCCTGAGGGATCTCTGCCTGTAGTGTTTCTTTCTGTTTTCCTTCTTCTTTTTTTTTTTTTTTTTTCTTTTTGAGACAGAGTCTCTCACTCTGTTGCCCCAGCTAGAGTATAGTGGTGAGATCCTGCAGCCTCAAACTCCCAGGCTCAACAATCCTCCTGCTTGGCCTTCCAAGTAGCTGGCACCACAAATACCACCAGGCCTGCCTAATTGTTTTTACTTTTTGTAGAGACAAGGTCTCCCTGTGTAGCCTAGGCTATTCTTGAACTTCTGGGCTCAAACAATCCTCCTGCCTTGGCCTCCCAAAGTGTTGGGATTACAGGTGTGAGCCACCGTGCCCAGTTTCAGAGGGCTTTTCCTGAAATAGAAATCCAATCATGTCCTTCTTCCTTCTGTTCTCAGTCTTTAGGACAAAGTGTATACTCATTACATAGCTTACAACAGCTGAAAGCATTCTCTCCTGCTGCAGCCAACCCTCAGCTGATCTCTTCACACCCTCTGCTCCAGCTGGTACTCTTGGTTCTTCCCAGTTTCTCCACCCACCCATTCCATCACCAGACAAGCTCCATTAATCTTCCATAACCCTTCTCCCCAAGACAGCTGCCTGTCCCCTTCTGTGTGCACCACAGAGCCTTGGACATTGCTGTGCTTCGTGTGTACTGTATTGAAGTGTCTTGTCGTCTCCGTCCACCCCATATTGCACCCCAGTGCCCAGGGAAGTGCAGGGGCATGTGGACTCTCACTAAATGTGTGTTCCATGGACAAGTGAACAAAATGAATATTGGCACTGAGTCCACACTGAATAAACGTTTATGGAAAAAGAGAAAGATGGAAAAAGGAGAAAAGAAAGGAAGGAAAACAATCCATCTCTATATCCTAGTGTCTAGAGTAAGACCAGATACTGCTAAGTTTGTGCAGTGAATGAATGAATGAGTGATGGAACAATAAATGAGTGAATGAATGAGTAAATGACTGGTCTTGCCAGAGCCTGGCCTGATGCCTGGCTGGTGTGTGGTGAATACAGGTCCCTAGTCCTGTGTGTATTTCAGCATTCAGAGCTTTTCAGACTGTAGGTAGATAATGTAGCACCCATGCTGCGTGTTATGACACAGGCTCGGGGTGGGGGCAAAACCCAAAAACCCACATTAATGCATCCACAGAGAAACATATGAAGAGTGGGATAAATAACATGAATAAATGTGTGGGAACGAAAATGACTGATAGCCACAAATCAGTTGAGGTCCAGTTCTGCTCCTGGGTGGGTTACAAAAACCCTCTGGGTTTTTGGAGCTCTTCCAGGTCAGGGATTGTGGATTGGGTTTATGGGCCTATTGACATAGTTTGGACCTGTGTCCCCCACCAAATCTCATGTTGAATTGTAATCCCTAATTTTGGAGACTGATGGGAGATGATTGGATCATAGGGGCAGTTTCTCATGAATGGTTAGCACCATCCCTTTGGTGCTGTTCTCATGATACAGCTCGCACGAGATTTGGTTATTTAAAAGTGTGTGGCACCTCATCCCTCTCTCCTTCCTCCTGCTCTAACCATGTAAGACGTGCCTTCTTCCCCTTCGCCTTCCACCAAGATTGTAAGTTTCCTGAGGCCTCCCGAGAAGCTGAGTAAATGCCAGCATCATGCTTCCTGTACAGCCTGCAGCACCATAAGCTAATTAAGCCTCTTTTCTTTATAAATTATCCAGTCTCAGGTATTTCTTAATAGCAGTGCAAGAGTGGACTAATACACCTGTGCTTAGGAAAGGTCTATTGAATGACTGAGTGAGTGAGGAGTGTCTGTGCCCCTGGCCTCTCCCCCTGAGTGTGACCCAGGGCTATCTGTTAAGTGCATGTGTCTCTGGAGTAATGCGGCCTCCCAAATTACTTACCAGGATGTTTTGTATCAGATGGAGGGCAAGGGACTTGTTGGAGCCACTGAGGATCTCAGGAGCCTCCTTCTGTGGAGAGAAGCGGTGCCCTCTGTAAGCCATCCAAACATCAGAAGGTAAACCCATCTACCTGAGGCCATGGGCAGCCGACTTTCACAGGGGAAGCTGGATAAGGAGCCCTGAAGCCCAGGCAGCCACGTGTGGAAGTGGCCTCAGTGTCCTGGTCAGATAGTTAATTTCTTCTCACTTTTGATAAAAGGCAGCTGTTCCCTGTCATTCCACCTGCAGCCTTGTGGGGCCTGAGTGGTCACCTTGTGAGAAGGCTCCCATTATGGGCTAAATTGTGGCCCCCTCAAAATTCACACATTGAAGCCTTAACCCCCTGCACTTCAGAATGCAACTATTTGGAGATAGTACTTTTAAAGGGGTGATTATGTTAAAATGCAGCTGTTAGAATGGGCCCTAATCCAATCTGGCTGATGTCCTTATGAGAAAAGAAAGTTTAGACACACAAAGCGATATCAGCACCTTAATCTTGGACTTCCAGCCCCTAGAACTGTGAGAACATAAATGTCTGTGGTTTAAGCCTCCCAATCTACAGTATTTTATTATGGCAGCCCTGACTGCCTAAGAGGCCCCAACTTGGCTTGGACATCAAGTTCAAAGAGAAGCCAGAAAATTTCCAAACTGGTGTTTGTTGTTCTCCTTCTCAAGACCTTTGTGGGTGGGGCCTCTGAGAAGCCACAGTGGGAGGTCAGGCAGTGGCGGTGAGGCTGGTGGCTGAAAACACAGGCTCCCTGCACTGCCCTCACCAGCTGAAAACTTGGCAAGGGACTCAACTCTTCCTGCCTCAGGCTTCTGATCTGTAAGGTGGAGTTTGCAACAAGTACCTCCTGCGAGGTTGGTGATGAGAACTGAGCGAGTTGATAATTGTAAAGCTCTTACAATGGTACCTGGTACGTAGTAAGCACTTCATGTGATTATTTGTTACATTACCATTTTCTGGCAAAATCACAGCTTTAAAACGTGAGGCGTCAGAAACACTATCCACGTGGCAAATGAATTTTCTTGGTATGTTTTCTGTTGAAAATCTTGGGGTAATGAATCACTATGGCGAATACTTAAATGAATACTAGGGCCGTACCTGTCTCCTAGAATCTCAGGGAACCCTCAAGTCATTTAAATTACCCACAAGCATATTTTACCTACAAAAACCTTCTCTGTACATTAAGGAGCTGGAATTTGTTTCTCAGGGATTTCCTGTGGTCTCTAACAGCTAGCAATGGGTTTAAAGGCAAATTCACATGGAATTTGAGCACCCACACAGGCTTTTCAGCTCTGTAACTTCTGTTACTTGAATAACTCCAATATCTAGCATTTACTGAGCACTGACAGTATGCCAGGTTGCTTGATGTATACCTGTGATGCAGGTGCTAAGATTAGCCCTATTTCACAAATGAAGTAGGGGAAGCTCAGAGAGGGTGGGCAACTCCCCTAATATCACACAGCAGGTAAGCAGAGAATTCAGCATTTAAAGGCAGTGCCTAGGCTGGGCACCACCCCATGCCTGTAATCCCAGCACTTTGGGAGGCTGAAACAGGTGGTCTCCCAAAGTGCTGAGGTCAGGAGTTGGAAACCAACCTGGCCAACATGGTGAAACCCGGTCTCTACTGAAAATACCAAAAAAAAAAAAATTAGCTGGGCGTGGTGGTAGGTGCCTGTTATCCAGCTACTCAGTAGGCTGAGGCAGGAGAATCCCTTGAAGACAGGAGGTGGAAGTTGCAGTGAGCCAAGATCACACCACTGCACTCCAGCCTCGGCAACAGAGGAAGACTCCGACTCAAAAATTAAATTTAATTTAATTTAAAAGGCAGAGCCTAAACACATGAAAATTATACACCACTGTCTCCTTACTAGCAGGGAGATGTAGGAAAGCTGCTTTAGCTGCTCTGATCCTCAGTTTCTTTAAAATAGGGAAAATCATGCCTGTTTTCAAGTTGTTGCTTGGATGGCCTGTGCTTGGCACTGGAAGTTACTGGGGAACTGGTTACAGTAGTTACAGTGGTGGTTGTCATCACTAGCACCTGCCTTCTTCTTTCTAACACACACCCAAAAATCACTGAAAAGCCTTACTTAAGCCATGAACTGTGATTCAGTGGCCTCGTCTGCAAAGTGAGGACAAAAATTCCTAGTCCTACTTCAAAACATTGTCCTGGAGGTCAAATTAATAATGGCAGAACATGCTTTCACAACTCAATGAACTCAGGACTCTGGTTCCAGACAGTCACCAACTGGCTTTGTAATCTGATCCTCTTTTTTTTTTAACCCTATTTTGTCCAGCTTAAAATGAGGAGGTCAATCTATATAAATGAGCTTCAACAGTATTAGGAATTTGAACTCTCCACTCTTCCACAGATGAAAAGTTTATTTCCAATGAATAGAGTCTTGCTAAGCCACGGAATCAAAAAAATCAGGGGTCTTTCCCAGCACCTGGGCCTCAGCTCAACAATCTCTCCCTAGAAGAGCCTTTCCTGACCACCTGTTAACCTCCCTAAAGATACATTCTCTCCCCACTTGTGTCCTTCATAGCGTCTATCACTCTCTGAAATCGTCTTCTCAACCTCATGTCTCATCTGTCTCTCCCCACCAGAGTGTAAGCTCCCAGAAAGCTTGTATGCTCAGTTTTTATAAGCCTCTAATAAATGCTCAGTACATACTTGCTGAATAAATAAAATGATTTAACAATTTTGCAACTTATACAACCTTAGCATTCTCGGATGTCAAATGCCAGAACCAAGGCTGGACATGAACAGTTTAAAGGACTGAAGTTTTTAAACCCATCTAAATGTCAGCTCTGAAGTGGTAACTGCATTTTTTGGAAACGATCATTTATAACATTGTCTGAACAAAGACGAAATGGACCCATCCCCTTTCCTTTTTATATAGTTGTTTCTTCCACACTAAACCTCATCACGTGAGGAGGAAGGCAGACACTTGTTGTGACTGGCCCTGTCCTCACTTGCCCTCTTTCAGAGAGAGGAAAGGTGATCACTGTGTGCTTGGCTAGTGGACTTCAGCATTTACAACACCTGCTGTCATCTGTGGAAATGCCCAGCTGTTGAAGCCAAGAGCTGCATCATGGTTTGAGAGAGTGGCAGTATGGACAACCAGAATTCTTACCATAGGCAGCAGGAAGCCACACTCATGGTTATTGACTCCGATGATGGAAGGAATTGCTTTAAATGCTTTCTGAGACAATAGATCTAGAGGCTCATTAGGAAAGAAAGCACCATCAACCACTTGAGTGAAAGACTTTACTTTCTGTAATAAGGAAGGAAAAAAAATCATCAACGATTTCTGTTTACGAAATCTGCTGTCCCAAATCCTGGCCAAGCAAAGCCAACCCAGTCTAGCACTGGTTTAACTGCACTTAAAAAGTAAAAACAAACACTACAAGCCCCGCTCAATGTATCAGTCCCTGGCAGCTCTGCCATGTACTTGGGAAAGGTGGCTAAAGTTGTCTATGCCTTATTTTCTCATCTGCTAAATGGGAATAATAATAATATCTACCAAGAAAAACAGTGGCTTGTGACATGGTTTGGCTGTGTCCCCACCCAAATCTCACATTACAGCTCCCGTAATTCCCACATGTTGTGGGAGGGACCCGGTAAGAGGTAATTGAATCATGGGGCAGGTCTTTCCCATGCTATTTGCATGACAGTGAATAAATCTCACGATTTCTGATGGTTTTAAAAAGTGAGCTCCCATGCACAAGCTTTTTTTTTTTTTTTTTTTTTTTTTTTGCCCACCACCATGTAAGATGTGCCTTTGCTCTTCCTTCAGCCTCTACCATGATTATGAGGCCTCTCCAGCCACGTGGAACTGTGAGTTTATTAAACCTCTTTCCTTTATAAATTACCCAGTCTCAGGTATGTCTTTATTAGCAGCATGAGAAGAGACTAATACAGCCTAGCCCAGAGATACTCAAAGTGTGGTTCCTAGACCAGCAGCATCAGCATCATCTGGGAACTTGTTATAAATGCACATTCTCAGGCCCACTTCAGGCTCCTCAATAAGAAACTCTGGGGTGGGGGCATAGCCCAGGAACCTTCTTGTAGCTGGTCCTCCAAGTGATCCTAATGCATATTCAAGTTTGAGAATTACTGGCCAAATGCAAAGGTAAAAATTGTGGTAGATGGAGTGGTCAGGACTGTAGGGGTTGGTGTGAACATCTTCCTCAAGTGTCTCCCTGAGCGACTGTGTCTTGAACATGCCTGGATATATTTTGGGTCTCACAAAGCAACACTCAGCCCTAATCATGGTTTCCTTAGGTTTCTGTTTTGGGATTTGGGTAGAAAGGAGCACATGAAAGAGTTTGACACTACATCAGGTCCAGGATTTATTATCCATTTCACTGAGTCCAGCATGGCTCAGAGTGACATTCAGTACATACCACATAACTAGCAAATGTTGAAATCTGAAAGATAATGATCTTGATCGTTCAAAGACCGTCATCAAAGGCTCTCAAGATTGAAAGGGACATAAAGATCACCCGGTTCAATTAACTGTCACTGACTGAAAGTTTGTCAGAGGTCAGCTAGATTTTGCTTGAATACCTGGAGAGGTGGGCATCTCACCACCTTCTAAAGGAGCCCAGTCATTTTCCAGACACCTGAGATCTTGAAAAGTTTTCAGTTATGCAGAACTAAAATGACTTCCTAATAGAACTTCCAGCTCCTGATTTTGACTTCAGCTTCTGGAAGCATGGGTAACAAGTGTGGTCCCTCTCTCCAGTGAGATGTTTTCAGGGACTTAGAGACAAGCCTTGTACTTTGCTGAATCTTCTCCAGGCTAAGCTGCATCCCTGCCCCAACAATTTTCTTAAATTACCTACAAGGGTTCTATACCCCTACTTATTTTTTTTTTCAGCTGTTACCAAGTATCCCCAATCCTCCTCTTTTCTATGTTCCAAATCCAAATAAATAACAGAGGGGTAGGATTAGTTAATCTCTCCATTCAAAGGACAAGCCCCCCCCCAAAACTGCCCCCTCTGTCCTCACCTGGCTGAGGGTCAGCAGCTCCTTGGAGGATTTTGTCCTCAGGCACCTCAGCAGGTCTTCAGAGTCTGATGCATTCTTCCCACAGAAATGTGCAACCACCTGCAGCTATTTTGCAGAGAAGGACCAGGTTAGAGCATGATATTGGAAGCATCTAGGAAAATGGAAGCTGGAAAATGTCCTCCAGTCAGACACAGTTTTGTCCTCCATACATGAGTCCATCCTGCTACCCCTGCCTAGCCCCACGCCCCTATAATGGAAGGTGCACATGGCGGACAGGTTGCCACTGCATCACCCTCACTCTCTTGCCTGGCTCTCCTTGTCATCTTTAGTGAACACCATAGCTGGGGATAGGAGTTTGCCAGTCTGTGACCGTGGAATGGAATCAAGATTCATGGTCCCAAAGAGATCAGTCCTGTGAGCTTAGCTGCATTGGTACTTGGCCCCTCCAGAGTCTAGAAGCCCAATCTTAAGGTGCTAAATAAGACAGAAACACCAAGAGCGAGGAGCAGCTTTGCAAGCTCCTTCATTGTCAGTAGAGGCAGGGCTCCAGATCAGATTCTTAGCTTGTCAGCCCTGCCCAAGCCCCAGGCCCACACACAGCCTGGAATGTCCTACCTGTCTTTTTTCCTGCCTCTATACCAATCCTTCTCATTCTTTAATGCCCAAGACCTTCCCTCCGCGATGTCCTTTCAGGGCATTGCACCCCCCAGAAACTCCTTCCTCATCCAATCTCCTATAAGCTCGATGTTCCCCACCTTCCATGCCTGGCCCATTGCTGAACACCTGCTTTCCTTGTCACTGAACCTTCCATATTTGTAGAACTCGCTCCCTGAAAGTGATGGTTCTCAATCTTCTGGGAGTCATGGATACTCTGAGAATCCAATCAAAGTCACAGACCCTCTCCCTGGGAAAACGTGCAAGCATGTGGAGTCTGGCACAATTGTGGGACCACTTCCCAAACCTATCCATGGATTCCAAGATTTAATCCTATCCAAGGATAGGTGATAAAAAGATTAGATTGCCCTCAAGTTTAGGATGTGCTTTCTCCATTGATAAGTCCCAAAGCTCTAACAGAGCAGGGAAAATAGTGGGCACCCAGTGATGCGTGTCAAATGAATAAATATATGCCCAAACTGAAAATAGTTTTATGGAGAATGTTACCAAAATCAGTATTTCTGTGTATTGAGGGTATTTTATACCCTCAACTTTATAACTCTGTGTTACTGCTCTTGGTATACACTGTTACTTTCTCTAAGATGTTTAAGAAAATTTACCACAAAAATGATTAATACTCAAGAGATGGCTCCACAGCCCAGTGCTTAATTAATGTGCATTGAATGAAACAGCTCATTCGTTAACTCATTCATTCAGAACATTTATGGCTGCCTGATATATACCAAGTATTATGTTGAGGGCCTGAAGGACAGAGAGATCCTGGTCATTAGAGCCTCTCGATCTAGTAGATAATTAAGACAAGAGACAGATGAGAAATATTGTGTGATAGATGCCCCTTATAATCCCAAGCCAGACAACACTAATCAGTCACAGCATTATTTCCCACTGAGCTGGAAACAGCCCCTGAATCTTTCTTAACACAATGTCCTGGGTATCCATTCCCAGCAGAGTAGCGTAGGCACAGAAGAGCTGTATAGGATACAGGGCACTGAGTTATATATCACAAGCAAAGAATCACGGGTAAGATGTAAGAACCATAACACGCATACACACACACTTGTTCACACCAGTGGTGTGGCATTGTGTAGCTAGTTCCATTTCCTGTTGAACTAGACCTTTCATGGAGGAACAAGGTTCACCTTGGGCCAGCATGAGGTTCCTTGGGCATGGTCACTAAGGAAAGTCAAACACATGGTGAGAAGGTGCCTGAACACATTCTCTGCTAACTGAGGAGAGGAAGCCGGCAAGGTGTTAACAGTATACATACGTCCTCACTCTTCTCATAATCATGGGCCTTTAGGTAAGGGATGATGGCCACCCCACTCTCCATGACGGCTTTGTGGAATAAGCCTTCGGCCATGGGAGACAGTATCTGGAGAGAGAACACAGAAGACCCAGGAAAGTTTACTCCCCAGCGACACACATACCATTCACCCCTCTTCAAAGAAACCTTCCCAGGAAGCATCCTTAAAAGCTCTAAGCTTAGAGGGGAAAAAAGCCCTGGTTTGGGGGTTAAAGGACTACCTGTGAATGTGTGGGCAACTTACTTAACCTCTCTGAGCCCCTGGTTCTTCATGGACTTTGATGTCAAATGTTCAGGCATGTGATTTCTAGCTCTTTCACTTCCTAGCTAGGTAACCTCGGAGAAGTTGCTTAATATATCTTTTTTTTTTTTTTTGAGATGGAGTCTCAATCTGTGGCCAGGCTGGAGTGCAGTGGCACGATCTCAGCTCACTGCAACCTCTGACACCCAGGTTCAAGTAATTCTCCTGCCTCAGCCTCCAGAGTAGCTGGGATTACAGGGGCGTGCCACCATGCCCAGCTAATTTTTGTATTTTTAGTAGAGATGGGGTTTCACCATGTTGGCCAGGATAGTCTCAATCTCCTGACCTCTTGATCCACCCACTTCGGCCTTCGAAAGTGCTGGGATTACAGGCATGAACCACCACACCCGGCCAAGTTGCTTAATATTTCTAAGTATCAGTTCACTCCCCTGTAAAGCTGGAGTAAAAATTGAGCCCGTATCATAAAACTGCTGTGAGGAGCAGGGGAAGTAATCAACATAGAACTCTTCACACAGGGTCTGGTCCAATTTTGCTCATGAAATAAAGGCTGTTGTAATATATGAAACGTTAGGTTAATATAATCCACCTTAGAAGGTAATTTTGAAGATGTAAAAAGACCACAGATATTGTCAAGTGCTATTCAGCAGAAGTTTTCTTAACTCACTACCATGTCACTGATTGCTGCAATTAACTTGCCAACAGATGCCAAGGAAACTCTGACCACTGAGCCAGTGGGCCATTTTCTAGCACCTCTGTACATTTCTCTTCTCACCAGTTTCTTGGCAAGAATCAGGTTTATTCGCTTCCAAACCTGTTTTGTCAATTGCACTTGTTATTGTAATTACATAATCAATGAAATATCATGAGAACAAATGAACTGTATGTGTAAAAAGAAAATCAAATTATGTCTGGAAAAAAATTCTTGATAAAAGATGGCTAAGAAATATTGCATCAGGCCAGGCATAGTGACTCATGCCTATAATCCCAACACTTTGGGAAGTCAAAACAAGAGGATCACTTGAGCCCAGAAGTTCAAGACCATCCTGGGCAATACAGCCCAATATAGCTAGACCTCATCTCTAAAAAAATTAAAAAAAAAAAATTAGCTGGGCGAGGTGGCGCATGCCTTTAGTCCTAGCTCCTTGGGAGGCTGAGGCAGGACAATTGCTTGTGACCAGAGTTTGGTCTGCAATGAACTATGATCACCCATTGCTTGCCAGCCTGGGCAACAGAGTGAGACCTTGTCTCAAAAAAATATATTGCTGTCACCAGGCACGGTGGCTCATGCCTGTAATCTCAGCAGTTTGGGAAGACAAGGCGGGTGGATCACCTGAGGTCGGGAGGTCGAGACCAGTCTGACCAACATGGAGAAACCCCATCTCTACTAAAAATACAAAATTAGCCAGACATGGTGGCACATGCCTGTAATCCCAGCTACTCAGGAGTCTGAGGCAGGAGAATTGCTTGAACCCAGGAGGTGGAGGTTGTGGTGAGCCTAGATTGCGCCATTGCACTCCAGTTTGGGCAACAAGAGTGAAACTCCATCCCAAAACAAAACAAAACAAAAATCCATGTATGTGTGTATATGTATATATATACTATACAGATATCTATGTATCTATATAGAGAGATATATAGATATATAATATATATATTGCTGTCAAATTGTGTGTAGACAAGAAAGAAGTAAAATATTTGCAGGAAAAGTATAAAAATCCCAAATGCACTAAATTCAGGCAGCTTTGCATGCATCTTTAAGTTTGCACCCACTGTAAAGAAACTGCAATTTGAGGACAGCGAATTTTGCGGGTGGTTTATGCAAGATAATCCACGTTGGAACTCGAGTCGGCAGACCAACTCTGCAAACATAAGGCCCTGTATCAAACTGTTGGTGAGAGAATATACATTTTATGGTTTAAATTAAAATAAAATATTTATATGCATCTTTTGGCATTTAATGCCTTAGCTGAGTTTCCTATTAAACAAGTAATTACCACTCTGGTAATTGAATACTAGGGTTTCTCCTCTACAAATACAAGGGATTTTTCCTCAAATTATTACTCACTCTGTGACCTCAGGTGATTTATTTAAACTTTCCCAATGACACTGTCTTGTCTGTGAAATGAGACTGAGCCCCTAACTCATAATGTGTGTGTGAGGCTTGAAGAAGACAATGTGTATTAAAGTGTTTGCTCAATGTGAAGGCACCAATCAAATGTTAATAATTCATCATCATTTTTGGAACCTCCCGCACTGAGATTCATTCAAATCACAAAGCAGAGAACTCACAAGGCTCGAAACACTTATGGCTCCCGCGGACTCGCCAAAGATGGTCACAGAGCTGGGGTCCCCACCAAAGAACTCGATGTTCTTCTGGACCCAAGACAGAGCAGCCACCTGGTCCTTGAAGGCCCAGTTCCCCGGCGCATGCTGATCCCATGTACTGAGGACAAGAGGCAGGGTGAGAATTCTGTTAGCCATGGTGTGTTTCCCACAGCCCTGGAAGTTCTCAGCAGAGGCTGTGGGCAGGTATCAGTGGGGAGGGGACTGAGAGTCAGAGGCCTGGAGGAGCTGGGGAAACTGGGCTCAGTTCTCATGCTTTGCTGGGATTTGGATTTCTTTGAGAATTTGATGAAAGCTATGCACCCGAGAAGAAATGCACATACAATATTGTAGGTGCAATTTCAAGTATTCATGGGCTCCTCAGAATCCGTGAATCCCAGTCCATGAATCCTATGTTGCCCAGGCTGGTCTGGAATCCATGAATCCAATCCTGAGAGTTGGTCTGTATTAGAAAGCAAGGGTTTCCTGGGCACAGAATTTTCCATGAAACTAAATTAAGAATAGTCATAATAACAATAACAGGCCAGACGCGGTGGCTCACGCCTGTAATCCCATCACTTTGGGAGGCCGAGGCGAGTGGATCACAAGGTCAGGAGATCGAGACCATCCTGGTTAATATGGTGAAACTCCATCTCTACTGAAAAAACAAAAAACAAAAAAAAACAAAAAACAAAAATATTAGCCGGGAGTGGTGGCAGGTGCCTACAGTCCCAGCTATTCAGGAGGCTGAGGCAGGAGAATGGCATGAACCTGGGAGGAGGAGCTTGCAGCGACCCAAGATCAGGTCACTGCACTCCAGCCTGGGAGACAGAGCGCCGTCTCAAAACAAAACAACACAATAACAGCAGCTGCAGCAAGTACAGGACACTGTTTGAAGGACCTTAAGGCTAATAACCCTACAACCCTCACACCTATGAGGTAGGTGGTGCTGGTTTTTCTCCCTTTGCTTCTTTGGGTCTTCTCCACCCTTCTCTGCCCTGCCCCTGAAAAGCTGACCTCTAGGAATGGCATCACCCAGGCCTCAGCTATGTGCCATGAGGGTGGGCTAGAGAGAGACTGCGATGTTTATCCCACCACCCCATGCTCCATCTCTGATGGGAAGTGTTTGGGCAGAGGGTGCTTTTTTCCACAGTAGCAGCTCATGCCAACTCCCTTCCACTAAACCTGTGAGCCTGCTGTCAGGACACCAATGGATACATCAACTCTTTAATTCAGGCACAGAGAGGTTAAACCCCCTTGCCCAAGAGCTAGAAAGCTGCAGTTTTGGGATCCCACGCCCCAATGCTGCTGCCCCTGCCAATTGCATGTTTTCCAGGATGGAATTAATGGGAGAACAAATGAAACAAGTGGAAATGCCATAGAACCAAAGAAATGTCTAGACTGAAAGCATGCATGCAGTGCACACCATATATGCACGTCATCCTGGGGCACATTCTACTCCCCTCCATTTTCCAGTTCCCCAGACTGCTCCTTCCCCTGATCCCCTCCACTGTCCATGACCACTGAGCTGGCTCTGACTCCACCTTCTCTCTCCCAGGACCCTGCATCTGGTCAAGAGTCAAGCCCTGCCAATTTTACGTCCGTTCTACTGTGGCTCCCGCCCTGGACCCCGTTTCTTCATCTCTGTTTATCCTGAGAAGCATTATACCTTAATGGTTACCATCTCAGCCTCGAGCACAGGATTCACAGTCTGGTCACTTATTATCTGGGTGACCCTGGGCAAGTCACTTAACCTGCTTTGCCTCAATGGTTCTCACATCTAAAATGGGGATAATGATAGTGCCCACTCCACATGGCTGTGAAGATTGACAGCGCCAGGCAGACAATAAGCATGTCATACACTCATGTTATATACATGTTAGCTATTGCTTTTGTGTTTGAATGACCCCATGGCCTGCATCAAGACAATGCCTCCCAGTGGGGCTCCCCATCTGCAGCTGGGCACCCCTGGCTTACCCTCCACTCTGCTTCAGAGTGAGATTCCTGGTACACTACTCTGAGAAAGGTAATCCTGGCCCCTCAGTCTGTGTTGGATAAAGCCCAAACTCCATGTACAGCCTGGCATTCAAGGTTCACTCGTTCTTAGGTCGCTCAGCATTGTCTCTGGCTACTGCACGGCTGCTCCTTGGGGATCTGGGGTGTCGATTATTTGGAGAGACTCACGTGAAGAAGCCAAATATTCCCAGCCGGTACTGGATGACCACAACCAGCACGTCCTCATAGGCAGCCAGAGCAGACCCATCGAAGATGGAGGCTGAGCCAGTCTTGAAGGCACCCCCTGGGAACCACACCAAGACCTGAGGAGGGAAGAGGAGTGTCCAGTCAACCAGGAGGCACCACCACCCCTCCCCATGCAGGTGAGGCACACGTTCTTAACACCAAATAGAAATGTCCCACTTGCTAAGTGGGGTATGAGGTTTTGTCTTTTGAAGAAGGCCCAGGGTTAAGCATGTGGGCTCTGGCACTTGAGTGCCTGGGTTTGACTCCCACTGCCACTGACTAGCTGTGTGACCTTGGGAAGATTACTTAGCCTAAAGCTCATTTTTCTCATCTGTAAAATGTGAAGAAGGAAAGTATCTCACTAATGAAGTTATGAGGTTTAAACAAAATTCTGCATCTAAAGTTCATAGAACAATGAGCAATAGCACATTTCAAGTTTCAAGTGCTCAGAAATAGCTCACTAAATACCAGTGAGCCTGTGACCCACAGGAAGATGGAAACCATTGTAAGCCATGTATAAGAGCAAAAGCAGCTCAAGGTGTTTCAGAGAAAAGCTCTCAGAGAGAGGAGAGGAAGGGAGGGGAGGGAAGGGGAGAAAAAGAGAATGGAGGAGGTGAGGGGAGTGGAGGGGGAGGAAAAGAGGAGGAGGAGAAGAAGAAAGAGGAGGAGGAAGGGAGAAGGAGAAGGAGGAAGGAGGAAGAGGAGAAGGAGAAAGGATGAAAAATGAAGAAAGAAAGAAGAGAAAGAAGAAAGATCAGGCACAGTGGCTCATGCCTGTAATCCCAGTGCTTTGGGAGGCTGATGTGGGCAGATTGCCTGAGCTCAGGAGTTTGAGAACACCCTGGGCAATATGGTGAAACCCTGTCTCTACTAAACCAAAAATTAGCCGGGTATGGTGACAGGCACCTGTAATCCCAGCTACTCAGGAGGCTGAGGCACAAGCATCCCTTGAGCCCAGGTGGCGAAGGTTGCAGTGAACCGAGTTTGCACAACTGCACTTCAGCCTGAGAAGAGAGCAAGACTCTGTCTGCACCCCCCACCTCTCCCAAAAAAAGAAAAAAAAACTGGGAAGAGTAAAAATTGTATTGATTAGAAAAATTGGAACCAGGAAACATAAGACATTATTCAAGTGGCATTATCTATATTTATATATTTAACAATAAATCCCTTCCATTCTCTTTCTTAAGGTCATATTAGAGATTACAGCCTTTGGGACAGGTAAAGAGAAGAAAGCCACAGAAGAAAGGGGAGGTGGACAAAGCGCTTTCTTTGGTGCCAGAATCTAGCACCTACTGTGTGTACAACATGGAGCAAGTCATTTATCCCCTTCCTAGGCCTCATCTTCTCCATCTGTGGAATGGGTCCAAATCGTCCTTACCCAGTTAAATCAGGTGATGTACTGTGCCTGGTACACAGCAAGCATTTAATAGACATTACTGTTATGATACAAGGCAGCCAGTTTCCCCTGGCAGAGGCATGGGGAAAAGAAGAGGATGCGACAATTTGGCTAAAAAAATAGAATATGCCTTTCCCCCACTCACTGACATAGGGATATTTTATATTCTTAAATGAAACACTTAACATGATTACCTGACTGTCTTCATTATAAACAGAAAAGTTGGAGCATAAAATTATCCCTTTTGAAAAAAGAGAGTGCGCCTAAAATGGCCGAATAGGAACAGCTCCAGCCTCCAGCTCCCAGCGTGAGCGACACAGAAGACGGGTGATTTCTGCATTTTCAACTGAGGTACCAGGTTTGTCTCACTGGAGCATGTCAGACAGTCGGTGCTGGTCAGTGGGTGCAGCCCAACCAGCAAGAGCTGAAGCAGGGCAAGGCATCACCTCACCTGGGAAGCACAAGGGGGAAGGGAATTCCTTTTCCTAGCCAAGGGAAACTGAGACACACAACACCAGGAAAATGGGATAACTTCCACCCTAATACTGCACTTTACCAAGGGTCTTAGCAAATGGCACACCAGGAGATTATATCCCATGCCTGGCCCAGAAGGTCCCACGCCCACAGAGCTTCCCTCATTGCTAGCACAGCAGTCTAAGATCTAACTGCAAGGCAGCAGCGAGGCTGGGGGAGGGGCAGCCGCCATTGCTGAGGCTTAAGTAGGTAAACAATGCCACAGGGAAGCTTGAACTGGGTGGAGCCCACCACAGCTCAGGGAGGCCTGTCTGCCTCTGTAGACTCCACCTCTGGGGACAGGGCATAGCAAAACAAAAAGCATCAGAAACCTCTGCAGATGTAAATGTCCCTGTCTGACAGCTTTGAAGAGAGCAGTAGTTCTCCCAGCATGAAGGTTTACATCTGAGAACGGACAGATTGCCTGCTCAAGTGAGTCCCTGACCCCCTGAGTAGCCTAACTGGGAGACATCCCCCACTAGGTGCAGACTGACACCTCACACCTTACACAGCTGGGTACACCTCTGAGATGAAGCTTCCAGAGCAAAAATCAGACAGCAACACTTGCCATTCAGCAATATTCTATCTTTTGCAGCCTCTGCTGCTGATACCCAGGCAAACAGGGTCTGGAGTGAACCTCAAACAAAATCCAACAGACCTGTAGCTGAGGGTCCTGACTGTTAGAAGGAAAAATAACAAACAGAAAGGACACCCACACCAAAACCCCATCAGTATGTCACCATCATCAAAGACCAAAGGCAGATAAAAACCACAAAGATGGGGGAAAAGCAGTGCAGAAAAGCTGGAAATTCAAAAAATCAGAGCACATCCCCCCCTCCAAAGGAACACAGCTCATCACCAGCAATGGAACAAAGCTGGATGGAGAATGACTTTGACGAGTTGAGAGAAGAAGGCTTCAGACGATCAAACTTCTCAGAGCTAAAGGAGGAACTACGTACCCAGAGCAAAGAAATTAAACCCTTAAAAAAATAATGGAAGAATGGATAACTAGAATAATCAATGCAGAGAAGTCCATAAACGAACTGATAGAGATGAAAACCATGAATCGAGAACTAGGTGACAAATGCACAAGCTTCAGTAACTGACTCAATCAACTAGAAGAAAGAGTATCAGTGATTGAAGACCAAATGAATGAAATGAAGCGAGAAGAGAAGTTTAGAGGAAAAAGAGTAAAAAGAAATGAACAAAACCTCCAAGAAATATGGGATTATGTGAAAAGACCAAATCTACATCTGATTGGTGTGCCTGAAAGTGATGGGGAGAATGGAACCAAGTTGGAAAACACTCTGCAGGATATTATCCAGGAGAACTTCCCCAACCTAGCAAGGCAGGCCAATATTCAACTAGAGGAAATATAGAGAACGCCACAAAGATATGCCTCGAGAAGAGCAACTCCAAGACACATAATTGTCAGATTCACCAAAGTTGAAATGAAGGAAAACATGTTAGGGGCACCCAGAAAAAAAGGTCACGTTACCCACAAAGGGAAGCCCATCAGACTAACAGCAGATCTCTCAGCAGAAACTCTACAAGCCAGAAGACAGCGGGGGCCAATATTCAACATTCTTGAAGAAAACGATTTTCAACCCAGAATTTCATATCCAGCCAAACTAACTTTCATAAGCGAAGGAGAAATAAAATCCTTTACAGACAAGCAAATGCTTAGAGATTCTGTCACTACCAGGCCTGCCCTACAGGAGATCCTGAAGGAAGCACTAAACATGGAAAGGGACAACCGGTACCAGCCATTGCAGAAACATGCCAAATTGTAATGATCATTGATGCTAGGAAGAAACTGCATCAACTAATGAGCAAAATAACCAACTAATATCGTAATGACAGGATCAAATTCACACATAACAATACTAACCCTAAATGTAAATGGACTAAATGGTCCAATTAAAAGACATAGACTGGCAAATTGGATAAAGAGTCAAGTTTGCTGTATTCAGGAGACCCATCTCACATGCAGAGACACACATGGGCTCAAAATAAAGGGATGGAAGAAGATCTTCCAAGCAAATGGAAAACAAAAAAAGGCAGGGGTTGCAATCCTAGTCTCTGATAAAACAGACTTTAAACCAACAAAGATCAGAAGAGACAAAGAAGGCCATTACATAATGGTAAAGGGATCAATTCATCAGGAAGAGCTAACTATCCTAAATATATATGCACCCAATACAGATACAGGAGCACCCAGATTCATAAAGCAAGTCTTTAGAGACTTGCAAAGAGACTTAGACTCCCATACAATAATAATGGGAGACTTAAATCAACGAGACAGAAATTAACAAGGATATCCAGGAATTGAACTCAACTCTGCACCAAGCGGAACTAATAGACATCTACAGAATTCTCCACCCTAAGTCAACAGAATATACATTCTTCTCAGCACCACATTGCACTTATTCCAAAACTGACCACATAGTTTGAAGTAAAGCACTCCTCAGCAAATGGAAAAGAACAGAAATAATAACAATCTGTCTCTCAGATCACAATGCAAACAAACTAGAACTCAGGACTAAGAAACTCAATCAAAACCACTCAACTACATGGAAACTGAACAACCTGCTCCTGAATGACTACTGGGTACACAACGAAATGAAGGTAGAAATAAAGATGTTCTTTGAAACCGATGAGAACAAAGATACAACATACCAGGATCTCTGGGACACACTTAAAACAGTGTGTAGAGGGAAATTTATAGCACTAAATGCCCACAAGAGAAAGCAGGAAAGATCTAAAATTGACACCCTAACATCACAATTAAAAGAACTAGAGAAACAAGAGCAAACACATTCAAAAGCTAGCAGAAGGCAAGAAATAACTAAGATCAGAGCAGAACTGAAGGAAATAGAGAGACAAAAAACCCTTCAAAAAAATCAACGAATCCAGGAGCTGTTTTTTTGAAAAGAAACAAAATTGACAGACCACTAGCAAGACTAATAAAGAAGAAAAGAGAGAAGAATCAAATAGATGCAATAAAAAATGATAAAGGGGATATCACCACTGACCCCACAGATATACAAACTACCACCAGAGAATACTATAAACACCTCTATGCAAATAAACTAGAAAACCTAGAAGAAATGGATAAATTCCTGGACACATACACTATCCCAAGACTAAACCAGGAAGAACTTGAATCCCTGAATAGGCCAATAGCAGGCTATGAAATTGAGGCAATAATTAATAGCCTACCAACCAAAAAAAGTCCAGGACCAGACGGATTTACAGCCGAATTCTACCAGAGGTTACAAGGAGGAGCTGGTACCATTCCTTCTGAAACTATTCCAATCAATAGAAAAAGAGGGAATCCTCCCTAACTCATTTTATGAGGCCAATGTCATCCTGATACCAAAGCATGGCAGAGACACAACAAAAAAAAAAGATAATTTTAGTCCAATATCCCTGATGAACATTGATGCGAAAATCCTCAACAAAATACTGGCAAACCGAATCCAGCAGCACATCAAAAAGCTTATTCACCATGATCAAGTGGGCTTCATGCCTGGGATGCAAGGCTGGTTCAACATATGTAAATCAATAAACATAATCCAGTATATAAATAGAACCAAAGACAAAAACCACATGATTATCTCAATAGATGTAGAAAAGGCCTTTGACAAAATTCAACAGCCCTTTATACTAAAAGCTCTCAATAAATTCGGCATTGATGGAACATATCTCAAAATAATAAGAGCTATTTATGACAAACCCACAGCCAATATCATACTGAATGGGCAAAAACAGGAAGCATTCTCTTTGAAAACTGGCAGAAGACAGGGATGCCCTCTCTCACCACTCCTATTCAACATAGTGTTGGAAGTTCTGGCTAGGGCCATCAGGCAAGAGAAAGAAATAAAGGGTATTCAATTAGGAAAAGAAGAAGTCAAATTGTCCCTGTCTGCAGATGACATGATTGTATATTTAGAAAACCCCATCATCTCAGCCCGAAATCTCCTTAAGCTGATAAGCAACTTCAGCAAAGTCTCAGGATACAAAATCAATGTGCAAAAATCACAAGCATTCTTATACACCAATAACAGAGAAGCAGAGAGCCAAATCAAGAAAGAACTCCCATTCACAATTGCTTAAAAGAAAATAAAATACCTAGGAATCCAACTTACAAGGGATGTGAAGGATCTCTTCAAGGAGAACTACAAACCACTGCTCAGTGAAATAAAAGAGGACACAAACAAATGGAAGAACATACCATGCTCATGGATAGGAAGAATCAATATCATAAAAATGGCCATACTGCCCAAGGTAATTTATAGATTCAATGCCATTCCCATTAAGCTACCAATGACTTTCTTCACAGAATTGGAAAAAACTGCTTTAAAGTTCATATGGAACCAAAAGAGAGCCCACATTGCCAAGACAATCCTAAGCCAAAAGAATAAAGCTGGAGGCATCACACTACCCGACTTCAAACTATACTACAAGGCTACAGTAACCAAAACAGCATGGTACTGGTACCAAAACAGAGATATAGATCAATGGAACAGAACAAAACCCTCAGAAATAATACTACACATCTATAGCCATCTGATCTTTGACAAACCTGAGAAAAACAAGAAATGGGGAAAGGATTCCCTATTTAATAAATGGTGCTGGGAAAATTGGCTAGCTACAAGTAGAAAACTAAAACTGGATCCTTTCCTTACTACTTATACAAAAATTAATTCAAAGTGGATTAGAGACTTAAATGTTAGACCTAAAACTATAAAAACCCTAGAAGAAAACCTAGGTAATACCATTCAGGACATAGGCGTGGGCAAGGACTTCATGTGTACAACACCAAAAGCAATGGCAACAAAAGCCAAAATTGACAAATGGGATCTAATTAAACTAAAGAGCTTGTGCACAGCAAAAGAAACTACCATCAGAGTGAACAGGCAACCTACAGAATGGGAGAAAATTTTTGCAATCTATTCATCTAACAAAGGGCTAATATCCAGAACCTACAAAGAACTCAAACAAATTTAAAGAAAAAACAAACAACCCTATCAAAAAGTGGGCAAAGGATATGAACAGACACTTCTCAAAAGAAGACATTCATACAGCCAACAGACACGTGAAAAAATGCTCATCATCACTCGCCATCAGAGAAATGCAAATGAAAACCACAATGAGATACCATCTCACCCCAGTTAGAATGGCAATCATTAAAAAAATAAGGAAACAACAGGTGCTGAAGAGGATGTGGAGAAATAGGAACACTTTTACACTGTTGGTGGGACTGTAAACTAGTTCAACCATTGTGGAAAACAGTGTGGCAATTCCTCAAGGATCTAGAACTAGAAATACCATTTGACCCAGTCATCCCATTACTGGGTATATACCCAAAGGATTATAAATCATGCTGCTATAAAGACACATGCACATGTATGTTTATTGCAGCACTATTCACAATAGCAAAGACTTGGAATCAACCCAAATATCCATCAGTGATAGACTGGATTAAGAAAATGTGGCACATATACACCATGGAATACTATGCAGCCATAAAAAAGGATGAGTTCGTGTCCTTCGTAGGGACATGGATGCAGCTGGAAACCATCATTCTCAGCAAACTGTCACAAGGACAGAAAACCAAACACCACATGTTCTCACTCATAGGTGGGAATTGAACAATGAGATCACTTGGACACAGGAAGGGGAACCTCACACACCGGGGCCTATTGTGGGGAGTGGGGAGGGGGGAGGGATAGCATTACGAGATATACCTAATGTACATGACGAGTTAATGGGTGCAGCACACCAACGTGGCACATGTATACGTATGTAACAAACCTGCATATTATGCACATGTACCCTAGAACTTAAAGTATAATTTTTTAAAAAAAGATACCTCAAATTAAAAAAAAAGTCAGACTCCTTTTAAGTAGTGTCTTTTCTGAAAGCTTACAGGTCACTAAATATGCAGCAGATTGGAAAAACAGAACAAAATAAAAATTAAAAGTCAAGGCACTGCCAATAAAGAATCAATCAGAAAAACTGATCATGTGAATCTATCATTCGAATGATTTTTTAAAATTGTTGATATGATTACATTTCCCTTTTACCCAACAGGGGGTAGTTCCGATTCCAGACATGCAACTGCGCTGCCTGGATCCCAGACCAAGGTCCTGCTAGCTGGAGCTTGAAGCACACACAGCAGGCAGCCTTACGGGGAGCTTGGAACCTGCATCAGCGTGGGCAGGCGCATAGATGTTCAGGTACAAGCAGTCTTCTGACACGCCGATATTGGGGTAATGCACCTTGAGCATGTGTTGATCTAAGTGCAGCCACTCTGAGTTCTGGAGGCACCTTGGAGAAGGAAAGGAGAAAACCCTCAGAAAAAGTTATCAGCAAACTTGCCTGGGAAGGGCCAGTTCTTCTGAGAGCAGGGAGGCCTGGCTGTCTCCTCTGCCTGAGCAGAAGAGGCAGCTACTGGTACAAAGTCCAATCATGCCCAACCCCCACGGTTTCCAAAACAAACAAGCAAGCAAATTATAATTCTCTTTGATCTGATTCCTGGCTAGGAAAGCACATGGTGTAGAATAATTGCACCGTTACCACCCAAAACCCTCCTATGCCACCATGATAATATAGACACACATAAGAAACCAAGCTGGCCCAACAATTCTCCAAACTGTAGAGGGCAGGACACAGTCGAATAATAAGGGCTTTGCCCCTGCAGCTCCCTCTTCTGTCCCCAGAAGAGCAAAGGAACATTTCCAGTCCTCTGTACCTGGAACCAACCGGGATAGACTCCCACACCCAGGCTTTGCTCAAGCCGCGCCCTCTGCCTCGACTGCTCTCTCCCCATATCTGCGTGCTCACATTCTTCCCTTTGTTTCAGATTCACTCCAACTTGCCACCTCCTCCCAGAAGTCTTCTGAGATTTCTCCAGTTCTACCATATCTCTTCTTTGGAAACACCCACCTACTTTGCGTTCTTTCCCAGAACTTGTCCTAAGCTTGTACGTGTGCATTATCATCATCCCCAGCTCAGCTGTGAGCACCTGAAAGCCTACGACTCTGTTTTAGTCACCTCTGTACCTCAGAGCACCAGCAGAGCATGATACACCGTAAGATTAAGTGAGGCTGTAATGTGAATGCTTCTACCATACTGTGTGCACAATCAATGCTAGTTGTTTTCTTAATAGAATAATGTGCAATATCGCTGCACGTCTTCTCCTGACAGGTGTTCATGCCTCCCTGCCCCTTTTGTATGTTGCTGATCAGGCCTCAGTGCTTTCAGAAAAGCCATCTCTGACCTCCCATCAAAGCTGGGCCAGGTGGGTCTTTGTTTCTCCTCAGTGCCCTTCCCTGACACCCTAATGGTTGCCCTTCCCATCTTATATTTTAACTGTCAATTACTATTTACATTCCTGCCACCATCACCCCTCTGCATGCTGCCTGAGGACAGCTGTGACTCATCCCCTACTGTGTCCCCAGGCCTAATGGAGAGCCAGTTGGCCTAATGGAGAGCCAGTTATCAAGTTGGTTCTCAATGAATACTAGTTGGGTGAATGAATGAATGCACACAACAAATGAGTTTCAGCTTGATGTCCTCAGTCCTTGGACCACATGGGGTCATCTTCTGTGGCTTAGGGAATATCCTGGCACCAAAATTTCTTCTGCCAGGAACCCATGTGGCCCAACCTGAGAGCTTGACAGAATCTAAAGACTTGGAAGATTCTAGAGGGATTTTCAAGTCTCACTGCCCACCCAGTCAGTCTCACCTCAACCCCCCACAATTAACCTGGCAACTGCTTACCTACCCGAGCTTGAAAATCTGCAGTTACCAGGAGCTCCTTACCTCCCAGAGTTCCTGTGTCACAGAGACACGTCCACATGTTCATTCCACGGGTATTTATGGAGTTCACCATGGGCCAGGTGAACAGCATCAGGCACAGTTTTGACAGCTGGAGTTAACACCCTTCTAGTGTGGTTCTTCTCAATAAAGCCCCACCCAGTCTGACCACAGAGGCCAGGCTTGAGTGAGAGGTCACAAGAAGATACCTAGACAGTCCCTTCTGATCAAACGACTCAGTAAACCCATCTCAGCACTTCCAGAACACCTGGCTGGTGATCAGGGTCTCTAGAGAGCATTCAGATAATAGTTTCCTGGGCTCAGCTCGGGATACTCTGATTCAGAAAGTTCAGAAGGGAGCTTGGAGAATCGGCATATTTTTAAAGATGCCTCCAGCGTCCTGGCCATCAGTCGGTTTAGAAGTCAGGGGATTACCGAACCACTGGCTCGAGTCTCAAGCCCTCTCTTTCCCTCCTCCCCCATCCATGCCAATCCCTCTTCTTTCTCACTGGGCTGCATGATCTGCATTCCTGCCGCTCCCAGAGCCACAAGCCACCCGTGGGCCCAAACCTGGTCTTACAAATTAGGGTAGGAGGTGGCTTCTCTCAAGTTATCCCAGGGCGATGCAGGCTGAGGGTTTGTAAATCGCAGGGGTCCCAGCGGGGGAGCAGCAAAGGGGACTCCGAGGAACACGTTCACAGGCACAGGGCTTCCCAGCACGGTGACTTGCTTGCCCTGAATCCATCCCAGCCTGGTGTTCCTCTGTGGCCCTTCAGCAGAAGGCCCTGGGGGAACACATGGGAGGAATCAGGAGCAGGCTGGGGACAGGCAGGGTCATGGCCCACCCAGCCTGGAGCTCCCCAGTGGGGACATGCTTCCTTCACCCAGAGGCTGTGCAGCTGACAGTATCCAGGTTCCCTCTCCATGAATCCAGGTCCATGGCTTCTTCCAAGATTGCTGTAGAAGTCACCCCCATGAGACCACTGACTTAGTTTCTCCTAGGAGCCCAGAAGCACCTAGCCACAAAATCTCCCCCATTCACTCAGGAACCCATCTCCCTTCTGCTGAGAGCTCTTTCTTTCTACAGGATTGACACACACCGAACTCTCTAGATCCTGGGTTGCCACAAACTCATCTTCCCAGGGGTTCCTACACTTCTGTCACTCCACACCCTCCGGCACCACTGCCGGCACATCTGTGCAGCACCTGCATGATTACTGGCTTTTTATTTTTTTCTTAAAATTTAATTTCAATAAACTCCTTTTAAAATTTTACCTAGAAGAATTCCAAGTAACGACATTTATGGAATTGTGGTTGGTGAGTTAGGTATATGCTTTTGAATACACATGAATATTCATGGATGAAAATGTAAAATTCTTAAGCAGATGCTTCCTGAAATCAACCCATCTACTTCCAGCAGCATGGCACTTTGGGAGACGGGGCATGCAGGAGTCTCAGTCACCACACAGAACGTGGAGGCTTGGGAAGGAAACTGCCCAGCTACTTACTTAGCAAGACCCAGGTGTCTTAGCACTGTTTCTAATTTCATTTCATTACTGAAAGTCCTGTCGCTGCAGCCAGGAGTGCAGAAGCACAGGCTCTACTCCTCACACCTCCACAGTGCTCAGGATAGAGCCCCTCTAAACCCCTTGCAGCGTGTGAGCAACCCAAGGGCAGAACAAGGGTCTTTTGTGCTCTACCCACCCCAAGAAGGAAGCTCTGGTCCTAGGTTCTCGGCAACACCAGAACATTGATGCCATCAAAGTACTACATAGCTCTCCACAGACCCTCAGAGACCTCTAAAAAATAACCTCATTTCTACCAGTGGAAAATCCTCTCCCACCCCATCTTCTGAGAGCCCTCCTCTCCCACTGGATATCTCACCCTTGGTGGGGGCTGCAAGGACCCAGATAGCCCAAAATAGGATCTGGCCTGGGTGCACCCAATTCCCACTCATTTGGCTGCCTGCCCGAACTCCGTGAACATCGACGGCTGCTGCTGGCCTCAGAGAGCTTCAGTTGGGAGCCAGAAAGAGCTTCTTGTTAACTGGTAAGTGCTGAATAGGTAGGCAGAGGCAGCCGAGTTACTGAAGAACAGCATCAGAACAATATTCTCAAAGGAATTGACCAAGCAAGACTTTCCTGTTCTGATTTACATAAGAAGCTGATGATTAACTCTTGAGTTGGGGAAAGATAATTTGATTGGCTTTGGAATTCCAGGATGGGGGAAATAGAAAAGACATTCCAGACCAGGCAAGACATTTTAGGATTACGAGTTCCAGAGGCCCAAGGATGAATGAGGTTTCCAGCCCTGCTTGTGGGACACAGTGCAGGCTAGAGAAGCTGAGAAGTTTCTGAGAAGAGGAAGAAGGTTGCTGCTGGAACAAGCGAGTGGCTCTGAAGGCACAAACACTGCCAGCTCAGACTGGCAGCCCGGCTGGCCCTGCCAACAAGAGTCTTCAATGGCCATTTGGTCTACAGCCTCCTTGGCAACCTTGAGGCCTCTTAGATTATATTATTTCCCCTCTGGCCCTTCATAGTTGCCACCAAAAATATTCTCCCTGGCCTTCAAATCTGTCCCTTCATCTGACCAGAAATATTATCAATTCTCTACACCACTGCTCACTCAACTGTTTTAAAGCACTTCACACAAACTATCTTGTTGCCAACACCACCACCCCCAGTGTGGATGTCTTGCTTCTCCAGCTTCTTCTTTAAAATCCAATTTAACTGCCACCTCTTCCAAGAACCTTCCCCTGATTCTCCTGAACTTCTCAGTGCTTTGCTTTTCCAACCTCTCTTATTCTCTAATAAATCGTAGCCATGACTCTATTCCTCCTTGGAGTACACCTAGGACTTTTCCAGGTACATATTCATCCCAGTGTCTTACATGTGCCCTGTGGCTTCCCAAAGCTCAGCTCTAGACCTTCTGTCTTCACAATTTGTTCCATTCCCACTACCAAATTCACTATCAATTTACTTGATTTTTTTTATTTAAATTGAGATTTTTTAAAAAGCTGTTATTAAACAAAATTGTATCTACCTAGTGCAATAAGGATAGTGTTTTGGGAAGAGCAAGCCAATATATCTTGCATTTCTATACCACAAAACCATTCCCTTACCTCTAGCAACCATTACAACGAAGGGGAGGTATATGGTCGAGAAGATCCCCAAAATAGGACAAACAGGAAAATCTAGCCCTTCTGTACAGTGGATTTTGGAAAGGAGAAGGGAAGAGAGGTAGGGAAAGCATGTGTTATGCAAAGTGCCCTGACTCCCCCTCTTAGACATAGGTCCTAAAGGGGTACAGCAATGGGGGAAAGTGATGGGGTGCAGTGAGGGGCTGAAATGTGTGCCAAGGATGAAATGTGTGCTAAGCAGTGAAGGGTTCTCCAGGAGGATACTGACAGAAGGGTTCCACATCTCAACCAACCTGGGGCAGCCACAGCAGAGCAGAAGTGGTTAGGCCAAGAGAGATCTCAGAGAGTGCTCCCACTTCCGTTGGATCCCCAATTCCTTGAAATGGATCCAGACATCACCGTGTGGCTTTGAAGAAAACTCAGAGGTGACTACCAACCTGGCTGGGAGCTAGAGGAGGAGGAGGAGGGCAGGGGGCTACAGATGCGCTTCATGGACTCGAGAACAGAGTGAAACCACAGCCTGGCCTGTGCTGGAGCACAGTGCTGAGCACTGGGCATGGTGAGGTGGGGCACTGAGCCAGCCAGGGAGGGTCAGTGGGCTTTGATCAAGACGAGAGGACAGACCATGAGCTCACCACGTGAGAATTCATCCTCCTCCCAGGAGCCCGGGCAGCGGGACGTTTCTGTAGAGACCACAACAACGCAAGGACTTCTGCAAGTGGGTCTAAGCTCCCTCTGCCCTACCACTCATGTGGTCCTATTAGCATCCCTTGACTTACACAGCCTGACACCATCTTGGCAAGGAGTGTGGGTGGGGTGGGGAGCAAATCTGAGAGGCTATGGATTTATTTGAAGTGATTATGCTATCTAAAGAGACTGTTTAAGTTACCGAATAGGACTTTAGCAGATTGAGTTAGATGTAATTATCTATCATTAACTAGAGGGGCGAAGAATTCTCCATGCTAAAAATGGAAATTAACAAGCATTATATGTATGTGTGTATATATATATACATATATATGTTTGTGTGTGTGTGTGTGTATATGTATGACATGCTATAATACCACCAAACTGAGTCTTTCTCTTCCACAAAATCAGAATGCAAAGAGAACTATAGAGGAAATGGTTTCCTAATGAAACATCTTCTATTTGCTGTTCTCTCTAGGTACCGCCTCTGTCGCAGGCATCCCCTAATGCACAGGACCTACTCTGTGAGGAATACCGATAATGTCAAGAATCAATGCCACTAGCCTTCATTTACAGAATGCCTTACTGGTACCAGACCCTGGGCTAAATGCTTTCTTTGCATCTGTTACCTAATTTGATGCGATTAGTCTCATTTTGTAGATGAGGAAACTGAGATTTTGCAAGATGGGATTGCTGGTCCAATATCACAAAGATGAGAAGTAGCAACTGGGACTAGAGCTCAGGTTTCCTGCCCTTGAGCTGCAGGCTTTGCAATTTGGGGAGGAGGGAGTAGGAAAGGAGAGGCAATAGAAAGATCTGGGAGGATGGGCCGGCTTCTGCAGTTCTTGGGCCATGAAAAATTACTTAATCTTCTGGAAAGCTGAATAACCACCTTGGACCTTGATGTCCCCATCAGTAGCACAGGTCAGTAGCCTGGATGGCCCCTGGGAGACACAGACCTTTGATAGGCTCTCCCTGTTCTCCCAGATTACTCTGCTGAAACCCTGAGGGAGAAAACCAAGATAAGGGCTAAGGGCTTGTTCTTTAAGCAGCTTGGCTTAAAACATAGGCTCATCTACCTCTGCTGATAGGTGGTAAAGATCAAAGCCCACTTTGGGATCCTCATAAAGAGAGGCTAAAGGAACCTTGAAGGTACGAGAGCAATGGCAGCTGCCTCAGGGTGGAAACCAGCCTGTAGGTGGACAAAACAAAGGAGTGGTGCTCTGGTGCTGGAATCAGGTCACTAGGCAATGCCCCATACACCACATATGGACCCACAGCTGGGAAGCCTTAAAGCTTCCATCTCATAACCTGTTCCTTCAAACCTCTCACATATTCATATTACACCCAAACACTTTAACTTGACCTTCAAATCTTTTCTCATCTGACTCCATTCTATGATTCCAAACTAATGCCTCACTGCAACCCCACTGTTACCCACACCACTGCACTCCATCACTGCACCCCCACCACCACCCCCACCACTGCACCCCATCACTGCACTCTACCACTGCACCCCATCACTGCACTCTACCACTGCACCCCATCACTGCACTCACCACTGCACCCCATCACTGCATTCCACCACTATCCTACCTCTGCACCTTATCTGCACTCTACCACTGCACCCCATCACTGCATTCCCACCACTATCCCCACCTCTGCACCTTATCACTGCACTCTACCACTGCACCCCATCACTGCATTCCACCACTATCCCCACCTCTGCACCTTATCACTGCACTCTACCACTGCACCCCATCACTGCATTCCACCACTATCCCCATCTCTGCACCTTATCACTGCACTCTACCACTGCACCCCCATCACTGCATTCCACCACTATCCCCACCTCTGCACCTTATCACTGCACTCTACCACTGCACCCCATCACTGCATTCCACCACTATCCCCACCTCTGCACCTTATCACTGCACTCTACCACTGCACCCCATCACTGTGCACCATCACTGTGCCCCATCACTACACCCCATTGCAGTACCCCATCGCTATACCCCACCACTGCACCCCACCATTGCATCCCACCACTGCACCCCATCACTGCAGCTCCACCATTATCCCATCACTGTACCCTACCACTGCACTCCCACCACTGCACCCCACTACTGCACTCCATCACTACACCCACCACTGCACCCCCACCACTACCTCCATCACTGTACCCCACCACTGCATCCCACCACTGCACATCATCACTGTGCCCCACCACTGCACCTGATCACTGCACCCCACCACTGCACCCCACCACTGCAGGCTCCTGCTACCCCATCACTGCACCCCCACCACTGCACTCCACCAATGCTCTCCGTTTCTATAACCCATTGCTGCACCCCATCACTGCACCCCACCACTGCACCTGATCCTTGCACCCCACCACTGCACCCACCCTGCACCCCATCCTGCACCCCACCACTGCACTCCACCAGTATCCATTTCTATAGCCAATTGCTGCACCCCATCCTTCCCTGCACACCCCACCACTGCACCCCATCCTGCACCTTCACCATTGTCCATTGCTGCCCTGCCACTGCACCACCACTGCAGCTCCTGCTCCCCATCTTCACTTACCTGCACTCCATCACTGCCATTACATTGTACTACACCACTGTACCCCCCATTACTGCACTTACACTAGACCCTCCCCAATATACTTCATCCTCCTACTCCTACACTGCAGGCCACCACCTCCCATCCTGCAAGCCCATGGTTCAGCTCCCTATCTGCATCCCCATCTCCTATATACCTCATCTTACCATACCTCAATGCCATGCATCTCATCTTACCACTGTACCTCCACTCACTGCATCTCTCATCACTGCACCCCATCACTGTACCTCCGCCTGCATCATCCTTGCACCCATCCTGCATACCTCATATGCATCTCTCATCCTGCACCCCCACCCTGCACTGTTACCTCCACGCCTGCATCTCATCCTGCACCCCCATCACTATATCCAGTGTTGTTATATTTTCCTCCCTGTGCACCCCACCACTGCAGCTCCACTGCTACCCCCATCACTGCACCCCACCACTGCACTCCATCACTGCAACCCCACAATTGTACTACATCACTGTACCCCCATTACTGCACTTACCACTGAACCCTCCCCAATATACTTCATCACTCTACTCCACCACTGCAGGCCACCACCTCCCATCCCTGCAAGCCCATGGTTGTGCCCTATCACTGCATCCCATCTCTATACCTCATCACTGCACCCCACCACTGTACCTCCATGCCTGCATCTCATCACTGCACCCCACCACTGTACCTCCACTCCTGCATCTCATCACTGCACCCCATCACTGTACCTCCACGCCTGCATCTCATCACTGCACCCCATCACTGTACCGCCACGCCTGCATCTCATCACTGCACCCCACCACTGTACCTCCACGCCTGCATCTCATCACTGCACCCCCATCACTATATCCAGTGTTTGTTATATTTTCCTCCCCTGGAATGTTTTGCCTTGAATTCTTTTTTTTCTTTCCTTTTTTCTTTTTTTTTTTCAGACAGTGTCTCTCTGTCACCCAGACTTGAGTGCAGTGGCATGACAAACTCCTGGGCTCATGTAATCCTCCCACCTCCGTCTCCCAAGTATCTAGGACTACAGGTGCACACCGCCACACCCGGCTAATTTTTTTTTTTTTTTTTTTTTTTTTGGAGAGATGGAGTCTCACTATGTTGCCCAGGCTGGTCTCCAACTCCTGGTCTCAAGTCATCCACCAGCTTCTGCCTCCCAAAGCTCTGGGATTACAGGGGTATGGCCAGGCATGGCCCACCACACTTAGGTGACTTCTTTACCCAATGAAATCCTACTTGTCTTAAAGATTCCATGAAAAACCACTTCCTCCATTTATACCTCCTCATTACCAAATGCTAGACTCATTCTCCTCTTCCCACTCATGCACTTTTTGATGACTCTATTATTTACAACACGCTGCCCTTGTTCTATAGGTGGTATACCCAATGATAATGATGATGATGACTATGACAGGGACCATGTGATCTCTCATGCAGGTCACAAAACTTCAGCCCACCTCGGATTTAAGCTACAGCTGCAGTGGACAGTAGTGTGCAGGCCCAGTCTCCCTTTGCACTGACAGCATACCACCTGAAGCATGGGTGGGCCCCTGGCTTTCTATTTTCTGCCCCAGGGCAGAAACGTCCCTTCTGTCTTTGCTCAAGTGAGATCAGAATTACAGGACAGATGGAGTCCCCCAGGAG